AGAAACATGGTCGTGGATGCTCAGCGATGGATTCTCCAGGAGTCCTGGTATCCTCCTGGGGTAGTTTGACATTTAATTCCGCTACCATATTGATGGGCGGGGGATTTCCGGCCACCTGTACTCACCAGACGAAACGCTGAAGCAGAGCTTCCACTTCAAGGCGGTATTCTGTGAGGTCGTGGTACCACCCCGGTTTGAGCCGACCCATACGTGCAACACCAAAGCTGCCGCGTATCTCTACCACTGAAATTGACATTTACTTTATTTTCTGCGTTCACTCCTCGTTCTATATCCTTATCATATCTCCCATCCCGGCTAAATACACATCCCAAATATACAAACTCAGCTACTTGCTCGACCAACTCCCTTTCTATTCTTATTTCACATATCGTTTTACTTTCTTTTTTTTTCAAAAATCGTAACTCTCGGCTTATTTTCATTCACTTTCATTCCCTTTCTTCCAATGATCTGTTCATTATTGTAACCTTCATTTGCAATGCTAATATTGATTGTTTTGGGAGTGTAAGTTTATCCTAGCACTAGAGTCCCTATAAAGAGATAAGAGAAAATGCTTTTTTTAATCCACTTTCATAGGCACAAATACTTTTTCGTTTTTGGTCAAAAACCGATCATGGGGACCCATTCCCTTTCTTCCGCTGGACATCCCAAAATTTTCCCATCAGTTTGTTTCATAACTCTTTCAATTAGTACCTTAGCATACAGTTTTTCCACAATGCTAAGAAGGGTGATTCCACGGTAGTTTTAACAGTCCTGCTGCGACTTTTTCCCTTATATATTGGGATAGTCCCAATATATAAGGGCTTTGCACCAGTCTCACGGTACCCGCTTCAGTTCCCAACATCATTAAATAGGGTGTACAGCAGGCCCGCTACCATTTCCTCACCAGCCCTTAACATTTCGAGTAATACTCTATCATATCCGGCTGCCTTACTTACTTTCATGCTTTTCGTCCTTTCATTATTTCATCTATACTTATCTTCCCGTATCTTACCTCTTCTTTCGGAATTTCTATTTCATTTAGTGCACACGTCTCCTCACTCATACATACGCTTTAAAAATGTTCCTTTCATCTCTGTAGAATCGAAACATCATCAATCAGAATACAACCATTCTCATCCCGTATAGCATTCAATGTAGACTGTTTTAAATGTCCCCTGTCAGTTTTTACGAGCCTCCAGAACATTTTATTATTTGCCGATTATCCGATATTCTTCTATTATTCTTATCCGTTGTTTCCTGCTTTTTATTTTCAACTACTTCTTTTACTCTTTTATTTTGACATCTAAAGACTGCCTTTTTCTTTTAATATCATCATTCGTGCCACCAGAATTATATTGCCTTGGCTTGCCTAGCCTTGGTTGCTAGTAAATCTAGCCATGCTCTCTTCTTTGCTTCAGCTTCTATACGTACCATATCATACCACCATAACGTATTATTTTTCCTTTGATTCGTTCTCTTACTGACACCACATACTTCGCTGCGTCCACAAAACCTTTCTTAACATTATGCCACGCTCACACATTCACATATTATATAAAATTTTGCCTAAAATCTTTACTCTGCGCTAATACGTAGTGAATAAATATTGTTTGCTCTATGCGACCGTTTGACCCTTATAGACCATTCTATGACCACAGGCTATAGATGGAAGTCTATTGTTTGACATTGGTAGTATGAACGTAAACAATGAATGTTTTGTTTTGTTGTATTTTATGTAGGTATTTGTGTCGCATATTACTTATAAATTTAGCTTTTTGCGCTCATTCTCCATATAAAACTTAAATATGCCAAATCTTACACACCCTCCGTGTGAGCACTAAGCTTAAAATGAGATACAAAGTTTTCTCTTCTTTAGTAAATAAAAAAAATTAAGTATTTATTTTTACTTTGATTAAAACGGTGAAATCAATTACATTAATTATAGACAACATATTAATTCTTCTGGCTCACAAAACTTCAGGCATTCAGAGAATATTACCGTCCATTCATCCGCAAAAGGGTACTCAGGATTCGTGTCCAGGAGAGCATTAAGTGCGGTGAGTATTTAAAACAAGCTTTACTGTTACTACCTACTGTTAGTACCATATCTAATAATCTAGGTACCATACCATAATATTGCACTGTCATCTAAGTTACATTAAATCACATGGGGATTACTACATTTGTCACATTACAGCTCTGTCGGATGTCAGCAAATACTTCAAAACTTAATCACAAATTTTGTACCAAAAAGACATACGAAGAAAAAAAGCTTTTTTAATAAAAGAGGGGGCAAACGAGCATTCGGCTCACCTGATGTTAAGTGACTACCGCCGCCCATGAACTATCGCAACACCAGGGGAATTTCAGATGCGTTGCCGGTCTTTTAGAAAGGAGTAAGCTCTTTTCTTGAAGTTCCCTAAGTCATATCGGTTGGGAAAAGTCTCAGGTGGTAAACAATATTACAGAGAAGTTGTAGGAGGAAAAAAACTAAACTAAAAACAGTGGTGGACCGCCAAGCATCCAGATGGTGAGGATGGTATGGGGAATTTTGACGCAATATGCATTCGTGAAATTTGGCGGCTAGAACTAATCCGAACGATTCCTCAGATTGGTAGATACGATAGAAATTACCAAGGGATGCAACATCCCTACGCAACGCCAGTAAATCGAGCCGATCAGGAAGAACTCGGTCGGTGACGATTCGAATAGCTCTGCGCTGAATGCGGTCAAGTGGAAGGAGCTGGCACTGGGGTACCTCGGCCCAGAGATGAGAACAGTGCAAGGCCAAACTTGCGCTTTATAAACTTGTAACCGATGTGCCGGCATGAAATAATGTCTCACTCTGCTGAGCACGACAAGGTTTTGGAGACCAATTTGGCCTTCCTCACCACGAAACTGCACACTATTCGATATATCGACGTCGAGGATTTTGTTGCTAGCTGAGGCAGCAAGGGGAGTGCCCTCAATCTGAGGAGATACGACAAAGAGGTTCTTTTTAATCGGCCGACCTATAGTGCCATCACTGCACCGTGTGGTGGCAGCCTGCAGAATGCAACCACGACGTTAATGTGACTGGCACCACAAACCGGAAAAAACAATAGTCCGACGAACCTCTTCAGGTTCGTCGATATCAGGTTATAACCAGATACTCAGGAAACCTGATATTCGCCCTAATGAGAGATCAGCAGAGGGTCCAACAAGGAAGGTTGGGGGCTACGGGGATCTTCCACAACTGGAATCCCGGTAACCGTAGTAACCAGTTGTGTCAGACCATATGCCAAAGGAAAGTCATAAACAAATATCCACGCATGATCCGTTAAACGTGACCCAAGCCATTCGGCGTGGTGGGCGTTAAAATCGCCAAGAATTACGATCTCTGCGGATGTATCTGCTGTAGCAGGGAATCTGTAGCCTTTTGGACGTGGTCGAGGAGTCGGTCTGTTTCGGTATTACCCACAGAAATCGTAATTGTCTTATTATTACTATTTCTGTGGGTTTACCGCTATGGGACCTATAGAGGCACCCGTAGACGGGGGATGGTCGTCGCTGGCTACGCGTAGCCATAAGATGGACAGGTCCGTACCTTTAAGACAGTCGAGGCGTCGAAAACAGATGTCCTCTCTGACTTATATGGAAACTCAAGCCCGGGGCACCAAGGAATGTTCTAATTTGTACCCCGTGTGGGAGAGATATGAAGTATCAGCTGGAGAAGACACCTGAGTCTCGGTTATAAAGAGCAGGGCCGGCTTCGCTTTCTTCAGATGGTAGTGGACAGCTACTAAAATAAGTTGAAAAAAGGTTATAAGAGTAGAGTAAATAAGGCGGCCACTAACTGTCATTAATTTACGACAATGACGAAATAATAACCAACGTGTATACTAAGAATTACATTAAAAAATCTTTATTTTTAAAATACGGTGTTCTTTGATCGTCATTCTTCTCTTATATAATTTTTATGGAGTACTTATGGGGTCAGTTGGATGTTTCGTAACTTGATTTGGACCCGGTAGGTGGCGCCGTTGTCGAGCTCCAGAAATCACCCGTGCGAAGCCGGAGTTGATCACTAGTATCCCATATTACTTAGATCACTGAGGTCATTAGTATTATATTATTTGGGTTGTCCCAATTTTCTGCAATGTCTACAAATACTACGAAGAAACTAAGACATCAGTAAAGAAAACTAGATTGTTATGAGGCTATAACCATCTCTTTAAAGCCAGACTAGACTAGACTAGAGTAAAAGGTGCGAGACATCTTTTTTTATAAAATAGGAGTAACAAACGAGTACACAGCCCAGGTCCACCTAATTGTAAATGGATACTGTGGCCCCTAAACATATTTGTACATTTGTCCTAGATTAAAAATAAAAATGCATATACGATATACAAGGCATTCTGTACGAGGGCTGACCCTTGTACAGAATGCCTCGTTTCCAGTAAAAAGGGCCTCCGGATCTCTATTCTATTAGAAACACAACAGCATTAAGCTGCTATTTTACGCTGGTATTCTGAGAGAGCGTGGTCCTGCCTCGATCAAGCCGATATATCTTGTTTATAGGATAAGGGTGACAAGCGAGCACACAGTCCACCTGATGGTAAGTGGTTGCTGTGACCCATAGACATCTGTCCTCGTATTCAATCAAAATGCAGATGTGTTGTCAGCCGTGAAGACCAAGATGATCTTTTACAGTAAAAAAGGTTTCCGGTTCTCTGCACTCACCATATGGATCACAGCAGCATTAAGCTGCTATTTTACGCTGGTATTCTGTGAGAGCGTGGTCCTTCCTCGGTCGATCCGGCTCATTCGTGGTACAACAATACTATTAATATAGCTGCAGCGTGGCTCTACCACGTATAAACGACAGATACGTAGATCGTAATTCTACAATCTAAGCTTGACGAATTCTTCTTACAACGGGAAGGGCGTGTCTAGCAGACCTTTACTCTGATGAAGAAGTATACAGCAGTGATTCACAAAAAATTTATTACACAATGTTTTTACTTTGACAAAACTGACGTCTGACGCAACTTCCTGTTCAGCAAGAGGAACATTTTGTGTAGTCCACTCGACCTCCTCCTTGTCCTGTACCTCACCAGCTTATCTGTACTCGGCTGGACAGGTGCTTGCTGGTTCTGGGAGTGAGTCTTCGTTTTAGGCATCAGAGTCAAATGTCGCTTTCGATAGCTGCTTCTTCGTCTATTATTTTCGAGTGTTTTTTCCCGATTTGCTTTAAGTTGTTCAATGGATCGTAAGATGTTATCACTCTGTTCTGCGATGCGATCAGTGACATTCTTAATATGCATAAGATCGCCACTGAGCCTCGGAAGTTGGATTTTGTTCACCAACTCAAATTTCTCCGAGATGGCGTTAATGGCGCTTACAATGTCACTCGGCGAATTTGAATCTTCCTCGTTGGATTTGCCGGCGGGGTGCTGACAGAGAGCGCAAGTCCAGTGATAACCAAGGTCACCACTTTCCATATCTTGCATCTCGCTCACGCATTCAAAATGGTACTTGGATTCACATTCGAAGCATTTGATCCCCTCGCCGCTCTTGAGAATTTTTCGACAGCGATTACAGATCATACTAAAGTGATAATTTTTAGATTAATTACAAATTTTTATATCATGTTGTATATTAAATATGGACTAACTAACCTAACGTATAATAAAGTAACTAAAAGAATGCTTTAGAGTTAAGAGTACTTGAAAATTTGAACTAAGAAAGTAGAATTTTTACACTTGGTAGAGGCAGGCTGCAGCTATATTATGGTTGCAGCACGAATGGGTCGGCTCGGCCGGGGCAGGACCACGCTCTCACAGAATACCAGCGTAAGTGTTTCGAATGTGAGAGTAGAGATCCGGGGACCCTTTTTTTCTGGAAACGAGGCATTCCATCTTAGTCTTCAGTGGTGACAACGCATCTGCATTTTGATTCTTCAGCGAGGATAAATGTAGATGTCTTTGGATCACAGTATCCACTTACCATCAGGTGGATTGTGAGCTCGTTTGTCAGCCTTATTCTATAAAAAAGCCGTATGGAGGCGTTGCAAGAGAATCTATTTCTACGTAGTAGAGCCACGACGCAGCTATATTATAGTTAGAGAACGAATGGATCGGCTCGATCGAGGAACGGCCACGCTCTCGGAGCATACTAGGGTGAGATAGCAGCTTAATTGTGGTGCGTTTTATATGGTCAGTGTAGAGAACCGGAGACCCTTTTCACTGGATACGAGGTATTCCATCTTAGGGTTGACAACATTTGATGTATCATCGACGATAAATGTAAATACCTGTGAGCGACAGCATCTACATTCCATCTAGTGTACTATGTACTTGTCTTACCATTATTACGTAAAAAAAACTGTCATCAGATTTCGCCTCACGAGCATGTGAAATACCTGAGAGATTTTATGACATCCATACGTTGTATTGCAGTACGAATGAGTTGACCGGGGAAAGACAACGCTCACTCAGAATACCTGCGTAAAACAATAGCTTAATGCAACTGTGTTTCGTATAAGTGAAGAGAACTGAATATACTATTAACTGGTGACTAAATTTTCCATCTTAATCATCAGGGGTGACAACGAATTTGCATTTGATTCTTAGTCGAAGATAGTTTGTTCTTTTTTTGTTAAGACGATGACGGTGAATTAATTCGACGTGTAATATTGACGTAAGAGAATTCACCGCCCTATAGCATCCCAAGGTTCTATAAGAGACAACATAGGTAAATTAAAGTGGAGATTGAGAACATAATTTTTAACACGCTTTTATTAGCTTTACCTGTATGTATGTGTGTAACGGAATCTTTTAACTTCATTTTCACCTACTGTAGGAGTCTGATAAACTTGAAAATTTGTACAGGGGTGAAGGGCTGATTACAATACAATAACTTCATAACTTTATGTTAAAGACCTGACTAGGGTCATCAGGATAAAAAAAATATATTTAGATTAGTGAGCAGGTTAAGCGTAGACCACTCGTATTTTCTACTTTTTAGTTCGATTGCTATTAAAGCGTGTTTTTTCAGTTTTTTAAACTGTAATTTATTCTGATGGCAACTCAAAATACAAATACATATATCTTGCGGTCCAATCTGCCAAAATATGTAACTAGCGAATAACCAACAGACACACAAACAAACAAAGAACACCTGCGTATATTTCAAGTGACTCTAAAACCATGCTAATTTCTTGACACCCACACACACGCGCGCGCGCGCACACACACACACACACACACACACACACACACACACGCACGCACGCACGCACGCACGCACGCACGCACGCACGCACGCACGCACGCACGCACGCACGCACGCACGCACGCACGCACTAAGAGAGCAGCACGCACGCACGCACGCACGCACGCACGCACGCACGCACGCACGCACGCACGCACGCACGCACGCACGCACACGCACAGCCCACACACACACACACACACACACACCTTTCTTCTTTCTTTCTTTCCAGTCGGTAAAAATTCGCTGCTGGGTGCACACATGTACATTAAACCATGTTGTTGCTTGTAAATGATTTTACATGCACGTGAATACATGTTCCTATCAGTACCGTCTTTACTATAAAAGCACACGGGGCCCGTGTTTAGCCCCCCCCCCTGTCTTAGTGACTTTCTGGCAACCCTGGGCAGTGACAAGCCAAACATTGCCAGAAAAAGTGGCATTGACAGATTTCCTAGGTTTTCAATATTGAGTGTAAAATTAAGGAGTATCAACTCCCGTAAAAAGTTGAAAAAGTGACCATCTGTAAGCAGTAAATAACATTTCAAAAACTCTCCACAACAGCGCTGGAGTAGCTACTGGGATGAAATGAACTTAGCAGTTGTCGACGGTTTAAGTGTGCTGCTAAACTGCTCAGTAACTCTAAAATCTAAAATAATTTTATTTAGTAAATATAACTTCGAAAAAGTCGTCTATCCCACTAATATTTTTCGGTGCGTTCTTTAAAATTTACCCCGTAGCTATAGTGGCGCCACCCTTATTTAACGGTTTTCTATTGACACTTTTTAATACACAGTCTGTACTCCTTACTTCTACACTCCATAGTTTTCAACCTATATTATCCGCGTTTGACCGCCATATAATCGTCGGGTTGAATACTATTTAGTAATCTGTGGCTGAAAAGTCGCCATACTACGTAGTACTATTATTTATTCTGTGGCCATACCTACTTCTTATAGCCTGAATCTTTTTTTAATTTCGGCAATCTATGCATTTATAATTGAGATATAAATATAATTTCGTACTGTTTAATAAAAATAACACTTCAAAAGATTTAACGGCAAATGATTTATTTAATTTGATAATTTTCATCCTCATATATTAGATTTTATAGCAAACATTTGTAACGACCCTTTTTTTTGGACAAGTGAAGCCTAAATTTTAATGTGATAAATAGGAATAATATACGTATTGATGTTGTTATAGAATATTTTCTTTTTTGAAAGAAAGTTTAGGAAGGAACCATTAAAGTTTACATTTTCCTAAGAAATTATCGTCCCCGCTATGAAATCTGTCAAGTAAAGTGGCGCTGCAAAAAAACTCGTGGATGCCCTCATTAATGATATAATTTGATTTTTACCAATTAATTATAATAAATATAAGGATATTGTAGAAATTTTTTTGTCATTCACTTCTTTTTACTTTCCAACTGGGCTCCAAATTCGTATATGCCCAAGGGCCCCGGTATGGCCAAAGACGGCGTTGGTTCTTATGATAAGTTGATTATCGATTTGGCTTAGTTTTTCATCATCATCATCATCATCATTACAGCCCTTCACAAGTCCACTGCTGAACAATGGCCTCCCCCAAGGAATGTCAAAAAGCACGGCCCTGAGCCATTTTTATCCACCTACATCCTGCATGTATTACCGGGTTGTCACTCCATCTAGTGGGGGGTCGCCCTACACTACACCTACCAATACGAGGCTGCCACTCGAGAACCTTTTTTCCCTTTCATTTTTGGTTCTTCATGCTATATGGTCGGCCCATTGCCATTTCAGCTTACTAATCCGTTGGGCTATGTCGGACACTCTGGTTCTACTGCGGATATCCTCATTTCTGAGTTTATCACGCAAAGAAACCCCGAGCATAGCCCTCTCCACAGCTCGCTGAGCGACCTTGAGCGTACCTCATACGGCCAGCGGTGAAGGACCACGTCTCTGCTCCATAGGTCATAAAGTCATCTTAGTTTTTGCATCACATAAAATATACGCAGCGCTCAGTATTTCTTTTTGATAAGAGCTATTGCTTCGGTAATTCATGTAATCGAAGAATTTTGAAAAAAAAAAAACTTTTACATACGAAACTGTGTTACAGACAAAGAATTTTAAATATATACAAATTACGTGTCACGTTGTTTGTCCGCGATGGACTCCTAAACTACTTAACCGATTTTGCACACCGTGTGCAGTTTAGTCCAACTTGAGAGATAGGACAGTTTTTTTTGCCGATGAGTGACCCAATATTTTTTTGTGAATTTTATTTTTATTTTTAATAGGACATGACAAAAGGTCGTCGAAAAGGACAGAACAACGTTTGCCTGGCAAGCTAGTATATACTATAGAGCGGACATTGGGAACATTTGCATAGAAAAACTGTGAGCACGCGCGTGTGTTAAGCCTTCTAGCGAAAACTGGCAATATTACGCTGAATATTTATTTGGAAAACATTTTAGCTATTTCCCATTAGGTGACGCTTCTAAACATAAGGTAAAATCGGTTTTAGGCACGTCTTCAATTACTAACAAATTTGTAAATAAATAGTGACGTTACTGGATAACAGAGGGCACTTATTACAATAATTTTTCTTTCTTCTATAACAATTTACCAGAAATAATAAAATATAAAGATTATTTGGTAAACTTACATTTTTATTAGGATAATAAACCGAAATCATGTTCATTTTTTGCTTCATATCGTGACTTACTATAACTTAATGCACAACCGGGCATATTTTCTTTAAAAATATTTTATAAATTTATGAAATGAATGTGTCTTGATCTTTCGGTGATGTCACTTAGACTAAATGACAAAAATCGGAGATATATCCTGTACAAGTACAAAAGTTACAGACGACAGTTTTGCTGCTGATGTCCGGTCTATTACTACTACATACTGAAATGTCTTTGGTTACAGACCTTTAAAACTTGAACTTTCCCGTTCCTTATAACCAGTAGGTATGAATTATTACATCCAATTTATCTTCGAAATAAACCCTTCTATCCTATTATTGTAAATTACGTGAATTTTTTTTCATCATATAGTAGGTCCTTACATTAGGATTTAAAACTACCCAAATATAGTTTAAAAATATTTAAGCACTGGCATATTTAAGACATTTATAATTATTGAAATATGTGTCAGTTTACCAACCAACTGACATTTGTATATTTAAAAAAATATTTTCAGCCAGCGCATCCTTTTTCTTTGTAAGACTTTCTGATCCACGACAAGATGAA